ACATTTCCAAAACTTTTCATGAAAAAAACGCAGAATAATTGGGGAGGCAACGTTGCTGCTTTAAAAAATCCTAATAATTGCATTATTTATTAATTCCAAGCCCATATACTTATTCATATATTTCAATAAAAACTTTACATTTTAAATGCTATTTTTGAAGAAAAAAGTAAATATTTATTACGTCAAACAACAAGATAAAAAAATGTGTTTAGAAAAAAAATCGCCAACATCCACTTTCAAATCACCATTGCAATTGATTTCTATTTCCAATATTTTTCGCATTATCCTTTTTGTCAAACAGGTGGGGACCACCGAGTCATCTATTAAAACATTATATTACTGGTACTTATTATATAAATTTTCATTTCATATTTTTCTTTTTTCAAACAATATCAAACTTCAATCTTTTCAATAATTTACAAAACACACAATGTGGGAAAAAAAAATTCTAAACGTTATCGCCGGTTTTATTTTTTTTAACCAAAAAAATATTTCAACAAATTCAAGCCCGTGGGCACTTCAGCTTCTTGTCCGTATCTAAATTGCCTGGTTGCCCATAAATGTTGAGGAAAAACCGGGCATTATCCCGAATGACTTTCCGATATATAAACAAGGCTGACTTCCCAAAAGCCGGCATTTTAGTATACAGCATAAATATTATCTGAGGGAGTCATTTTGTTTTCAAAAAAAAACCGATATATTTACTTTCTTTTGACTTATATATAATAAAAAATTATTATTGTGCTTAGGATGTTAACCAAATATTATATTTTCATTTTTGTATTTTACGGTTGTTTGGAGCTTTCAAACTCCTAAGTGTTTTGTAACTTTAACGTTTAAAAAAAAATACATTTAAATTTGATATTTTCGGGCCCCACCGCACTGCGTTTGCAATCGAATTTCCACCACCGTCTGGCGTTGTTAATCAATTTTGTTTCAATTCTTTTTAATTAAAAATGGTAATATACAATTTCAAAAAAGTTTCCAAATAATGGTTGTTTTAATGTAATTATTCATTACATACGATGCGAATGCCAGTGTAATTCTAAGGGGGTAGTTTTTTAGTACATATGTAGTGTTATAAACAAAATTTAGGCAAAAGTGGCTGTCCCCTCGTCAAACTGTACAGAAGTGTTTGCATAACCTTGGTCATGATTTGCACCCCATGCGTGTAATAAGTTGCGAAAAGTACATATGTGGGCTCCAGTCTCCACTAGGTGTTATCAGTAGAACATAAAACATAACGTACAAATAAGTTTTTCATAAACTTACCGACACCAGCAAAAATCTATCCGACAGCCATGTTTTTCACCGCTTCTGCGACGAAATCTCCATCGCCGCACCGGTAGACCCACCGCTTCTGCGAAAGGCTATGGCCAGTGTGTTTAATATAGAAAACTGAGCTAAGAACTAGCTTAACACTGAAAGAAATAGAAATTATAGATCTTATGATGATATATAAATTTATATTTCAATAGCTCTCTTCAATGATAATTCATACAATAGTTGATATAGTCATAAGCTTGTCACAATTAATTTAAACAATTCTTATCGGATGGATTTCCATTGCAATTACGTGCTTTTTGGCATAGCCCTATTCAAATGTATAAATGATGATAAAAAAGTTAGATGTTTAAAGTATTACTACTATACATAGTCAAGAGCACTGCTAACAAAATGTGTTTGTAATCATATACAATTATAGTTTTATTTTTGTGTGTAGTTAAATAGATAAACACTTATATTTTCTCCAGAATTGAAGAGCATAAACATGTACATGTATACAATTTATAGAAGAAACATGTATGCAAGATAACAAAAATACATATAATATGTATATGTTAGTGTTCATCCGTGCTGTTCTTTTTCCCGAAATTTTGAAAAATTTTGGGAAAGGGAGCGATTTTTTCGGGCAGGAAAAATGTTTATAATTTTTTGTAGAAAAAGCTACGGGTGAATACTAAATTTTTAAATGGGCAAGCTTTATTTGGGGCCCCCCCTTTTTATTCAACTTAATTAAAGTAACTACGCGGTTTTTAGATACTATGAAAAAAAAGAAGGCGACATTAACGGGAAAATTTGATTAAAATTTTTCACTTTTTTTTTCTATGAAAAAATTAAACCCAACCAAACCCCCAATTTTAAAAAAATTTCCCGCGTTTTTTATTTGGGTGGGCAAAAAAGGGTGGGCACTAAGTCCAAAACCCTTTGTTTCAATAAAAGGGGGAACTCCTATTAAATTTGGGAAAGGGCATAACCCATTAAATGCAAAGAGGTTTACGATATAAATAAATGGAAAAACATATAATAATTTATAAAAATATTCATAAATCATTTTCAAACATTCATACAATCTATGATGTCATCATGGAAGTATAACGATATCACTTGTGTACTGAAACCTTAACATAAAATCAAATTATCAAGATTCCTACTCATTAATTAGTTATCAAAGACATATCATAGTGTTTATTTGTCGAATCTACTTTTACCTTAACAAAGATATGGACCTTGTACCTGTGGTTCAGCTGCAGAGCACAGGCACGAGTATCGGACCTGGGAAGGAAAAATATGACCAGATTGATAAAAAAAACCTGTGTTCATCTTAAAAGTGTCAAAAACCAACTCTTAACTTATAGTATATTTTTTAAAGGGGGTCATTATTTACAATTTTTTTATATTTTTTTTTTGGTTTTTGACACTTTTGAGATGAACACAGGTTTTCTTATCAATCTGGTCATAGTTTTTCTTCCCAGGTCCGATACTCGTGCCTGTGCTGCAGAGGTCCTTTCTAAAGCCGAGGTGAATGACCCTACAAGGGAGGAAAATGTGCTAGGGTACGTAAGCCCCGTGCACAAAGAGTGACGGTCTTCAAGACGGTCACCAATAGCCCTTTTAAGAGCTAGTTCCTTCTTTTCATATTGTCTCAGGTAACTGTACATTAATTTAGGTTCTCATTGACCGCCGTATAGTTACCTACTTTTAGTATTTGGCTAAAATTCCATGGAGGTTAATTATCCCCACTTTGTGCTTCAAAATATTAACTTTAATGGCATAACTGGTGACATGTCCGGGTCCGTACTCGACAGTGAAAGCTGAACATAGACCACATAATACACACATGACACAATTCACAATATCAAATAAGGACCTTAAAACTAAACTAAATGTTATATGTCATCATATCCAATGCTACATTATACGATCATTCTTACAAAAACTTTGGAATGGAATCATCTGATTGCAAGCTGAATTGTCGATAGATCTCAATGCAAGTAAGCTTTGTAAATGTTTGAATTCCGCAAACCCGAGTTCCGTAGACCATATATAGAGGATAATTGAACGTCAGTAATGAACCTACTCGAATATAGTATTATATTTATCACATACCCAAAATAAAGACTGTTTACTTTAAAGTAAAAAAAAAATCATTTTTCATTGACGCGCTTATAACGCTAACATTTATTTTCACATAATCCTTTGGTCCATCGACACAGAAGATATAATTCTTCACGATGATGTTCCCAAACTTAAAAGCGCTGCGCATTTTGCACACGGCAAAGCTGGGGCCACACAATCGGATAGCTTCGTTCATAGCCGACTGGTCCATTGAATTTATCGAAAGATTTTGTCAATGAAGGAAAACGGCGATAATCTTGATGTTTATTTCGGCTGTTGCGTTGTTTATATTACCGTTGAAGTTAAAAATTGACCATCATCGTGAAGAATTATATCTTCTGTGTCGATGGACCAAAGGATTATGTGAAAATATTGGAAATGGAATAAAATACATGGTGATTATGATTGTAGGGGTGCGGATTTTTTCCGGCGGACATTTTTATCTTGAGTATTATTATAGATGTTGAAATATGATTTTTTTTTGAATTCCGCAAACCCGAGTTCCGTAGACCAATAAATATAGAGGATAATTGGAATGTCGTCAGTAATGAACTACTCGAATATGTATTATATTTATCCAACATACCCAAAATAAAAGACCTGTTTACTTTAAAGTTAAAAAAAAAGACGTCAATTTTTCATTGACGCGCTTATAACGCTAACATTTAGCGCGTCTTTATGCCACAGACACTTGGGGTTTGGAGCTCAAAACGCCTTTAAAATCCAAATAAAATGCATATTTGTCAATCCCAGCACATGTACTGATCATATATATCAAAAAAACTTAATATAAGCCGTTTTGAAAAAAAATTCATATTTCAACATCTATAATAAAGATATATATGTGTCCGTAAGTGACACTATTGTCCAGTTCTTTATAATGACAGGTAGTGATATGGAACGTTGTTAATTAGTATTAAAGCAGAGGTTGCTTTGCCTTCATTGTTGCGCTGGACCGGTCAGAAACTTGAATGGCGAAAGTACCTTAATTAATTATTTTTTTTCCCTATTTTCTTCTCTCTTTTTAAGTAAACCTAAATATAAGATATTGCTTTGACATACGCGGTGAAGAAAAGCTAGATTGGATGATTGAGTATTCATTAATTAAAGCACAGGATCTCGAACACTAAATTTTATCCAAAACAAAAAATAACGTTTTTATAGTATATAATTATATGGGATTTTTTTTTAATTGTTATTTTTTTGTTTTGGATAGAATTTCGGGTCCCTGTGTACATAAACAAATAGTTGTAAAATAAAAGTTTCCCAGCGTCCTTGGTTACAAAAAATTACAGTGCATATAAATTTTAGAAATCACTAGAGTTAGACCAGTATACAGTATATGCGGATCTAGTCTGTTAATTATTTTGCTTAAAAAAAAAATAGTTAGTTATTTTTAAAATAGAATACACGCCATGAATTTCCTAAAATACATGCCGATGTCACCGATATTGTAACAATAGTAAACATTAAATCGTATGTTTCCGTTAGCAACTGTCGGAAACTTCCGCTTAAAACGTATTGCAAAAGTGTACTGTATGGTGCACGTTTCCTGAATAAAAACCTTTAAAATTAACCAATCACGATCCGTATACGTCGTCACGTCTAAGCCTCGTTTTCGGTTTATGTCATGAAGCACTCGGTAGAAAGGGGAAAATTTCGGAAGAAAATGTGAGTTTTCACATGAATAACAAAGATTGATATGATCAGAAAGTGTTCAGAAATATCGTAAACTGAATGAGTTTTGAAACAAACGCTTCTCCAGTGAGGACCTGGGCATAAATATCTGATGAAGCGGTGAGTTGTTTATTTTTGTTTTCCCCCATCACTCGGCCCGGAGATGATGCTAGATCATGTAGATGCCTGATTGTTTACTGCATAAACTGATTCTTGTTGTGCTGTAATTTAGCTGCAAATTGTAACTGTAACCGTTCATTTAATACATGTCTTTATTTTGTAATTGCATAGCATTCGAAACTTTTTATAATTTTCGGGGATTTTATTTAAAAATGTGTGTCAAATCAAATGTACATGTCCGAAAAATTCAAAACGAGGCTGTATTTTTGACCGAGTTTCTCATTGTTTAATGCCATTAATTTATTGATATTTTTTACAAGTTGTATGAGTATGTATGTTATATGTTAGATTTTAGATCATTTGATAATGAATTTGACATGGTGCTTGTTTATTTTAAAGTTAAAACATTATGTGAGGTCACTTTTTTGTACTGGTGATTCACTGGTTAGTAACGTTCTAGTTAACCAATAGTATTTCCCAAAACTGAGCTATAAATATTACAAGGAAGTTTTTGGGAAGTCCAGTTTTTGTTTCACAATCTGATTTCATATGTGATCAAATATTGATTTGTTAGCTAGTGTTTGTGAAGTTTAAACATTTTTATCTGGAAAATATATTATTATTAAATCAATGAATTTATTACAAAATCTTTAAACTTACTGTGAAATATTTAATTTTCAGAAAAAGGATATAATGATTACTAGAGACAAGATGGGTCAGGGTATTAAAAGAAAACTTGAAGATTTTGAAAATGACAAGTGTCCGAGAAATCAAAGACAGTCCATTCTGGATATATCTGTTGGAAAGTTACATCTAAAGACAATGAAAAAAGTTGAACCCCCACTTCTAAGATCTGTACTTATCTTGAATACTCTCAAACATATCGAATCAGAACTACTTAAAGAGGGAGTGCAATCACCAACAAACACATCAGCATTTACCATTCCTGAAGTTGATCCAAACTCAACAGTCATAGACTTTTTACCAGAGCAAAACTCGTCAAAAGTGGAAATTGTTTCAGAACAATCTGGTCCACTTCCATCAATAGACACATTTGTTGGCAGTCGTGCCATGATCATAGACACAAAAGAAGAATTACCTTGTGAAAAACTAACCGTAGCAAATATGGGAGAAGCATCTCCTACAAATATTTATCAGCCTCCATCATTCCGAATGGAAGAAGTCTTTAGTGACTTTGATTTTCCAATGTGTGATTATGACATGTTTCCTGCAGTTTCTAATGGTGCCAATTTGACACAATTAAGTGCAGAAGAAGTGCTTCATTCCTTCCCAAACGCTAGCTCAAATTTCATTGGTGAATCATTCACAACTTTATCAAATGCAAGTTTAACACCTTTCTGTAAAGTCGAAACTGCATTTGATGATCTAGAGAACATTATGCAAATTCTTGTTGGATCCTGACAAGAAGACACTAAGTATTGTTGTGTTGAACATGGATGAAAATCATCAAAGTAAAGTTTAACACAATATTATTTAAGACATATTTGAAAACGTTCTGTTATTTAATAGTGAAGAAAAGCAATACTTAGTATTTGGCATATTAAAGTAAATATGTTTATTAACTATTTTATTTCAGAGGACTAAAAAGGACTGATGTTGAACATCGTTCAAATGTTATTTTAAAAAAGTGTTTTTATTTTTTTTTTGATACTGAAAATAAACATGCAGACATATGTTTGAAGAAAAGGCACAGTAAGACTTAACGTCTTTAGATTTATTAGAACTTACTGTATTTATTTATCATTAAGGCTATGTATTTTGATGGTTCAAGTGACCTTCAACACAAAGAGTCGTGCCTAGTCTGGTTTGTGCAATTTTAACATAGTGTGCAGAAAGAGTATTGGTGCCTTGTATGTTGAGAATGTGAAATCTGTGATTGTAGTATGGCACATGATTTTGTTCCACTGGTTTTAATTGTTTAAAAGCAAATTTCAAGATATAAGTTTAAAAAAAATACCCAACTATTGCAAGATGTCAGCTAGACAGTAATTACTAGTAAGATAATACTTCCTTTCCCCAGGAAGCTTTACAAAAAAAAATCATGATCAAATTATCCTGATACTGTTTTCATTGCTGTGATCATATAAGCATGGTAAACGTACAGAATAAAAAAATGCTGACTTCATTTTTGCAGAAACATACATTATTTTTTATAAAGTAAGATTAACCATACAATTAACATAATCAATAAAAGGATCAAGGTCAACTTTGATACATGAATATCTTGTCATGTAATAGCATGACAAATCGAGTTATTTTGATTTATTATTATTTAAAACTGGTTCTAAAACATTTGTAATAGATGAAGGGTAGATCTAGCTTGAAATTTGTATTGTCAAGTCAAAATTTAAATGTTCAATCATGCTTTAGGAAATAATTGGGCCAATTTTGTGCTGTTATTACTGTGTTGCTCTTGGCCAAAATTATCGTTTTTAATGAAGTTTTATACCTAACAAAAAATGATACATTTGTTAGCATGATCAGTAAAAAATTTAATATACATTGCCAGTGTGGAATTTAATTTTGTCAATTTCTTGTTCACTGTCTCATTTGAAAGCAGAGAATGGCCTTATTATAGATTATAAGGTGTAGTGAGAATATTCTAGATATTTTGTGTTGTGATTTAAGAAATGATGCAATCAAATTTTATATATTTTTATGCTTTTTGCCAAAAAGTATGATATATAGTAGATATTGAATGGGTCATATGACACAGTGCAATGATATATTATGTTTATCATTTGTTTTAAATCTTGTTCTGGAAACAAAAGTTGTTACCTGTTGTGTATTTATTTATTAAGATTTTAGTAAGTTGTAAGATACATATATATAGCTTGTGTACTGCAGAGATGATTTATATATTTATACATACCCTGGTGGCTTACAAGTTATTAAAGTGTATATCAAGTCAAAAGCACAAAGTTTATCAAAGCTGAAGTTACAGCAATAAAAAAATTGAACAGGGAAAATAATTTTGTTTTGCGGCCTGAGTTATATGGCTAATAAAAGAACATTCTGTTGCATTAATAATTGCACACCTTAAATGGCTTAATACTAATAGAAAGATTGATTATGATGGATAATTCACTAAAGTTAGAACTTAGATATATTAAGGCATTTTTGGACATAATCTGACATGTACAAGAAATATAGGTCCAAAGTAAATACTAGCAGGGTGTATACAGTATATATTGAAGCTGTTAGCTTCCATAATTTACTATTTATTTTGTATGAAATTGAAAAAATGGGTACAATACATGAAGTATTGCAACAGAAACTGTGATATCAGATGGTTTTAGTGTTATAGAATCAAATGATATAGAAATGTATTTACATTATATGTATTCTGAAAAGTTGTGGAGGTGGTAGTTGTCGAGAGCTACAATAAGATAGTGAATATCTTCTTGAAAAACAAAGAGGTTTTTTTTTTCAGAATACATTTGTGTGTATATATATTTATAGTGGAGGAAATGAACATTTATAATGATGTATATTTCTAGTGAAGAAAAACATGTATACAATGCCGTAGTTAAGACATATATGAAATGTGTGTAGAAAGAAATGAAAAGTTGGAGATACAATATATTGTGGTAAACAAGTTTAATATGTACATTAATCAATTTAATGTAAAATGAGTACTTACATATTCAGCAATATTTGTGCTAAACATGATCACAATACTGTGCTACCATAGTTCCTTATATATTATCTTTTTACATAAGTGTAACTGTACAAGGGCCAGACATCGAGTGTTGAATTGTCCGAAACTTTTGACTTTCTAATGCCTTGAAAGTTAATTTATTTTTCTTGCCAAAGTATTCACTTAACTGTTTTTGTACACTGTTTGGGAACATACATACCATCATGTGTGGTGCTTATGCACAAAAGACTTGTGAAATATAGATCATATTATGAAGCATGTACACCTTTAAAAGTAGCTCTATAGTCTATATAGAGATTTATGGGGATTTTGAAGCGTTAAAGTAACATACGAAAGTCAGAGACCAAAAAAATGACTGTTTGTCCGATATAGAATGTTTTTGTCTATTCGGTCACTGTGTTATGGGTACATTAACAAATTTATATATCTTATTTTGTTGAGTGCCGCCACTGCAACCTGCGATACAGTTGTAATTATTGCTAGTTTATTTGTTGCAGTTGACATTTTTATATTTTTGTACAATTTGAGACAGAGTATTTATTTGTACGAAATCATTGTTCAAATTATTGTCAAAATCATTCATAGTCATAGTATTGTCATTAAGAGATGCTTCATTTAGTGTATGTTTATTTTAAGAATGGTAAAGCAATGACTGAAATATTTGTTTAGAATGTGTTTGTTTGTAAGGCAGGATGTATGAAAAGCTTGAGAACACGAGCATGAAAATTCTGTCTTACAGGCCAAATACATGTGGCTCTAGAGGTTTACGGAAAGGGAAATGATGAGTTCATTCTAAAATGACAGTGATTTTTCTGCTTATATAACAGACCGATAAAAATTTAAAGGCCTCTTCCCGATCGAAATTTTCTTTAAAATCATGCAGTTTTCCCAAAAATCTGAACATAAACCTAGTTTTTCACTTCCCTAATTAGCAATTTTAGTGGAAATTTTTCCCAAAAAAGGTCTGTTCCCAATTGAGAAAAATCACTGCTTGAATTTAAGTTAAAATATGAAGACTTGAAGACAGTGTAAGGAGATTTAGGGTATGTTTATGAAAACATCTCTTATGAAAGCATCTCTTTGCCAAAGTGTAACTAGCATCATTCTTGTTATCATGCATAATCAAATCATTAGGAAATCGTGAATATTCCAAATTACCATAGTCTTAATTTTTTTTGTACTGTGAATCAAATATGTTATTACTTTAATTTAGAATAAAGTACATTATGTTTTGGTGCTCAAGACTTGGTGTTGTCACACGGTTAGAGGCTGGAAAGGGTTTTTTGTTCCGATTGAAGGATTGGAATATTTTACGCAACTTGTAAATAATCATTTGTACTATTTATTGAACCCATACTATATGTTATTTATTTATAGAACTGATTGTGTCTCATTGTTTCCACCTTGTAAATATATATTTTTGTTACCAAAAAAATAATCAAATTAGTTATATAAGTAAAAATGGACAGTAAAACTATAATTCATTAATGATTTAACCATTTTGTTAGTCACTAGTTTTAATTTGAAAAACATAAATATTTGATGATGATTTGAAGTAGGCTTGGTATTTTTGTGTTAAAATTGAATATTTAGATTGATGCCATGCTTTGAAAGGTGATATACTTTGCTTTTAAATCTCAGTAAATTAAACAAACGAGCATTGTGTGTGATATTCTGGTCAGAGTTGTGAAGACTCACACTGTTATTTATAAGTGTTGATAGATATTGATATAAATAACCTTGAATCTGCTGTCAAAATAAGCTGCACTAATAAATTGCTTTGACCACCATTTTAGATCAAGGCTTATTCACATTTCCTTTCTTGTTGACAACTCAAGTTTTCTATTTTTATATGTTGAAATTTTTTTAATGATTTTAATAGTCGATTGTGGAAAAGTCCTCAATTATAGGCAAGGCAAGTTTAGTTTCATAAATTTAATAGGTTAATTTACTGCTAAAACCATAAAACATGTACTTTGTTACAGAAATGATAAATTTTTTGATTGGTCTACTCTACTGAATATGCCCTAGACCATGCTAAATTTGCTAAATATTTTAGATAAAATTCATTTACAATTTTTGATTAATTTTTGACGGTAACCATATGTAATCAATGTTTAGAATTAATTGATGTTTTTTATGCAAAATAGTTGTCACTATAGAGAAAGGTCAACAACCTTTGCACACCAAACAGAAAATGCAACCTTTAAGCACCTTAGGAATTTGATTTTAATGTTTTAATTGTTTGATGATTAGAAATCAGGAATACAAGGTATGAATAAATTACTCCAGGTAAAGCCATTTGATGAATTTAACTAATGATGACATAAAAAAAAGTTCCAAAAGATCCGAGACCTTAATACTGTGCCTATATTAGCAGTATAGAACTAGAGCCGCCAGGATAATATCTGTTCAGTCTGACTGGACTTCGTATCGGTGGCTGTTCAACTTAAACATTTTATTGCTAACATTAGATTAATTGTGAACAGTTAAATATGTAAAGCAGAGCAAGGCCATTTATCAATTTGGACGATTTATGTTAAAAGAAATTCATTGATAATGATAATAATAAGCAACTCTACAGTTGAGTCATTTTCATCCTGCACCCTTAGTGTATTTATATAAAACCGCAACCCCATTTCGTTGAAAAATCACTGCTGGAATGTTAAGGTTGAAGCTGATTTTAACTTTATATTAGAATCATTGTATGAGTTTGTTTTTTCTAGGATGCTTGTTTCAAAAGTTTGGAGATACTAATTTTATATGATTTACACTTTATAGTCAATAGTTGATAATTTTATGTGATGATTAAAGCCAAAAACTTAACCATGCCTCCCACCCCCTGCTGAAGTTAGTCCCCATCCTTGTGTATATGATCAAAATCACAGTTATCCCCAATTTTCATTTGGACTATATCTACATGCATGTATTTTCAATTTTGCTACTTGAACTTTAAGGCTTGATTTCATTAGCATTTCTCAAATTTTAATAATGAAAACCGAGTTGTGTTTACTGTATATGCCCAATTAAATGCACTGCTGTGCATAAAAATACCCACCAGTTCTTGTTAAGAAAAAAAGTTACTTTTTTCAATGAAGTAAGCTACTTATTATACCCAACACACTGCTTTTTTGGAGAGGGACACATTTTCAGTAACCCATTTTTACATGATTTTGAGCAATATTGTTTTTATACTTCATTTGTTTGTAAATAGCTGCAATGTTATTTTGTGTACATATTTTTTAACAGATGCGTAATTTATTTATTATTTTACGTTTTGTTTTTGTTCCTGTTTTTAGGTCCAATAAATATTTGCATAAAGGAATAAGATTTTGAATAAAAATGCTGCTGTTGAATATATAAGCAATTGTAAGGAGTTGAGATTACATTTAAAGGGAATAAAAGATATATATGAATTGACACATTAGAAAGATGCGCACAATTATGACAAATGTGACCAAAAATAACATTGTATTTGACTTTAAGTTGATGATAAGCAATATTTTAGCTGTTTACCTTAGGTGATTATTTGTGAGGTAAAATAAGTTATTAATTTGTTCATGGCCAAGTTAAATTTCAAAATGTGACTATTGCAGTTTCAATTTAATCAAGTAGTGATTTTACAGTTGTTGTACAATTCTCCTACTTTGATGACCTGGAAATTATGAAATTGAAAAAAAATAGATATTTATAATCAGAGAAAGGGTTGATTTTTTTTGCCAAATTTCTTAAATTTTTGATATTTGTAAACTGATGACTGTTCAAATATAGTTTATCAACTTAAGTTCAATAATATGATTAAATTATTTGCTTTTTGAGCAATATTGAATGTAACTTATTTATCTTGTATAAGAAAACAAAAAGCTTCATAATTATTTATGTAATTTGTAGTCTCTATGGTAATTATAAAATCTTTTTTTTTACCCAGAAAACGAACATGTTCTACTTAAATTTTACTTTTTATTGAATGAAGTAAAACAGACAGTCTCATTTTATTTTTGATTTGCAAAAAATAATACAATTTTCTCCAGTCATAAATCCCCCTTTGATTGAAATTATTTTTAAGATAGTTAGGTATAGGTATTATTTGCATGTGTCATTACAACATTTAAAATCATTGTTCAGTTCTCTAGAGGATCTCTATTTTTATATGGTTTCATTAAAAGATAAAGTATAAGTATTCATTGTTGAAAGGTAATGCATTGTATTCAATCTTATTTCATAAATTTTATACTATAAATCAAATTTTATGCAAACTTGTTGAGACAATGAAAAATATCTTATATTTTACCAGATTCTAAATAATGTTAGCGAGTTTTGAATTATTTGTACAGTATTGTAGTATTTTAGAATTGAGTCTATGTTGTTGTTAATACATTTGTACTATGTTCTCATTATCACTATTTATTATCAATAATAAATATGTATAAATATGTAATACTGGTTTGTTTTGATTAATTTTATTCAGGTGAATCATTGTACTGTGTGTGTATTAGTAATATCGGTACACAATGCTAGTGTTTGACCAAGAAATACACAATGCTAGTGTTGGTGCAAGATGTACAAAATGCTAGTGTTCGGTCAAGATGTTCTAAATTTTAGTGTTTGTACAAGGAGCACTCGATTTGAGTATCAGTTCACTATGTAGGTGTCTGTCCAAAATGTAATGTACTCATTTTGAGTGTCTATACCAGATGTTCTCAATTTGTGTATCTGTTTGAGATAAGAACAATGCAGGTGTCTATACAAGATGTACACATTGCGATTGTGTGATCGTGATGTACTCAATGTGAATGTTGTCCAAGGTATACTCAATGCCAGATTTAATACGAATCTCTGTTAGATATACCGATTGCTAGTGTCTGTCTAAGATGTATGAACACCCTGTGTAAAATGTACTGATTGCCAGTGTTTGTCCAAGATGTTCTCAATACGAACTGATTGCCAGTGTTTGTCCAAGATGTTCTCAATAACGAACTGATCCAAGAGGTACTCAAAACGAACATAATGTGTAATATGTACCGATTGCCAGTGTCTGTCCAAGATGTACTCAATACGAACACCATGTGTAATATGCTCAATACGAACATCATGTGTAATATGTACTGATTGCCAGTGTCTGTCCAAGATGTACTCAATACGAACACCATGTGTAATATGCTCAATACGAACATCATGTGTAATATGTACCGATTGCTAGTGTTTGTCTAAGATGTATGAACACCCTGTGTAATATGTACCGATTGCCAGTGTCTGTCCAAGATGTACTCGATATGAACTGATTGCCAGTGTTTGTCCAAGATGTATTCGATACAAACTGATCCAAGATGTACTCAAAACGAACATAATGTGTAATATGTACCGATTGCCAGTGTCTGTCCAAGATGTACTCGATATGAACTGATTGCCAGTGTTTGTCCAAGATGTATTCGATACAAACTGATCCAAGATGTACTCAAAACGAACATAATGTGTAATATGTACCGATTGCCAGTGTCTGTCCAAGATGTACTCAATACGAACACCATGTGTAATATGCTCAATACGAACATCATGTGTAATACGTACAGATTGCCAGTGTCTGTCCAAGATGTACTCAATACGAACACCATGTGTAATATGCTCAATACGAACATCATGTGTAATATGTACAGATTGCCAATGTCTGTCCAAGATGTACTCAATACGAACACCATGTGTAATATGCTCAATACGAACATCATGTGTAATATGTACAGATTGCCAGTGTCTGTCCAAGATGTACTCAATACGAACACCGTGTGTAATATGCTCAATACGAACACCATGTGTAATATGTACTGATTGCCAGTGTCTGTCCAAGATGTACTCAATACGAACACCATGTGTAATATGCTCAATACGAACATCATGTGTAATATGTAATGATTACCAATGTCTGTCCAAGATGTACTCAATACGAACACCATGTGTAATATGTAATGATTACAAGTGTCTGTCCAAGATGTACTCAATACGAACACCATGTGTAATATGCTCAATACGAACACCATGTGTAATATGTACTGATTGCCAGTGTCTGTCCAAGATGTACTCAATACGAACACCGTGTGTAATATGCTCAATACGAACACCATGTGTAATATGTACTGATTGCCAGTGTCTGTCCAAGATGTACTCAATACGAACACCATGTGTAATATGCTCAATACGAACACCATGTGTAATATGTAATGATTACCAATGTCTGTCCAAGATGTACTCAATACGAACATCATGTGTAATATGTACTGATTGCCAATGTATGTTCAAGATGTACTCAATACGAACACCATGTGTAATATGCTCAATACGAACATCATGTGTAATACCTACAGATTGCCAATGTCTGTCCAAGATGTACTCAATACGAACACCATGTGTAATATGCTCAATACGAACATCATGTGTAATATGTAATGATTACCAATGTCTGTCCAAGATGTACTCAATACGAACATCATGTGTAATATGTACTGATTGCCAATGTATGTTCAAGATGTACTCAATACGAACAGCATGTGTAATATGCTCAATACGAACATCCCTGTGTAAATAGTACAGATTGCCAGTGTTTTGTCCAACGATGTACTCAATAACGAACACAATGTGTAATATGCTCAATACGAACATCATGTGTATATGTACAGATTGCGCAGTGTCTGTCCAAGATGTACTCAATACGAACACCATTGTAAATATTGCTCAATAACGAAAAAAAAAACATCATGTGTAAATGTACAGATTGCCAATGTCTGTCCAAGATGTACTCAATATGAACACCATGTGTACGAACACCCAATTGTAATATCTCAATACGAACATCATGTGTAATATGTACTGATTGCCAGTGTCCGTCCAAGATGTACTCAAATACGCGAACACCATGTGTAATATGCTCATACGAACATCATGTGCAATATGTACAGATTGGCAATGTCTGTCCAAGATGTACTCAATACGAACACCATGTGTAAATTGCCTCAATACGAACATCCAATGTGTAATATGTACAGATTGCCAGTGTCTGTCCAAGATGTAACTCAATATGAACACCATGTGTAATATTAAGTAATTTTTCCCT